ACTACACTGTCCTTGATGGTTTTCACCTTCAGCAGATTTCAGATACCAATAAAATGCTTTCTCTTCGTCTTTTGTAGTTCCAATTCCATTCACATAACGATATCCAACACTACACTGTCCTTGATGGTTTCCACCTTCAGCAGATTTCAAATACCAATGAAATGCTTTCTCTTCGTCTTTTGTAGTTCCAATTCCATTCTCATAACAATATCCAATACTATTTTGTCCTTGATGGTTTCCACCTTCAGCAGATTTCAGATACCAATGAAATGCTTTCTCTTCGTCTTTTTCGGTTCCAATTCCATCATCATAACAAAATCCAAGATTACATTGTCCATGAGTATTTCCACCTTCAGCAGATTTCAGATACCAATGAAATGCTTTCTCTTCGTCTTTTTCGGTTCCAATTCCATGCCTATAACTAAGTCCGAGATAGCATTGCCCCGTATTATTTCCACCTTTAGCAGATTCCCAATAACAATGAAATGATTTCTTATCATCTTGAGTTGTACCAATTCCGAGCCAATAAAAAACACCGAGAGTCATTGCATTTTGGGAGGTTTCCTGGTGATTACTTAACAAATCAAAAATCTGTTTTGAAGTTGTCTGTTTGTTCTTAATGAACATGTTTATACAAGTTGCTAATTCCAAATGAGAAACAATTCCTTTACTCATTTGTTCGTTAATAAGTATATATAATTCATTTAACGTTCTAATTTCAAAATCATTGACAATAGTGCTCTTTATCATGAGATTTTCATTATCATCAATAAGATTTTCATTTTCATCAATTTGGAGTTTTCCCGAAATTCTTAAAGTATCTGGTTCAATTGAGATGTTTAATAAATCAAGCAATTCTTTAACTTGGATAATTTCGGGCCTCTTGTTTGGATTTTCGTCCCTACAGGCTAATAAAAGATAAAGTGTTAACATCCAAGTAAGACTGTGCAAACACAATTAACAAAATACAAAAGGATAATTTATTTTTTTATATAAGCCAACCTTCATAAATTTCAATATATTCTTGAGGTGTCCCTTCTACTCTCTTTTCTCTGAGACCACCAAAAATTTGAAACATCAAAGTTACGTCGTATATACTCGAATTAAAAGGTGGATGTCCGCTTGTGAGCTCCCACAGTAAAACGCCTAAGCTGTAAATATCAGATTTCTTTGTTTTCTTGTGAAAAGACCCTTCAGCCGTCCCTATAAAACAACGCGGATCAATATATGGTATAATTCCAAATGGTGCATTAGCAGTCTGAGTATTTGTTGTCTCTCTCAATTGTTTGGACAACCCAAAATCCGCAAGCTTTATGTTTCCATCACGAATAAGAATATTTCCTGGATGCTTAAATAAAATAAAATAAAATAAATAAATTATTCTTACTATTAATGCAGGATTTAAGTTAATTACCAACCAAATCTCTGTGAATGATGTTTCTTTCGTGTAAATACACAATAGCGCTAGTAATCTGTTTAGCCATGCGCAGTTTTTCCTTCCAGCCTAATAATTTAAAATTCTCTTTAAGGTATTTCCGTAAAGTTCCATCTGCATATTCAATAATCAAAAGGTATTCGGTTTTTTGTGAATCTGCTACAGTAATTGTCTAATTTAGTTACGGTTTCTTACTGTACGCACTTTAATTTATCATACGCATATTACCTTTCGTAGAAATTCCGTAAAAACGCAAAATGTTTTCATCAAAGTCAACATCTTGATGCAACATAAGCTATTCGAATAAATATATATCTCACGTTAGTCATCGTTTACGTATTGCAATTACCGCACAATTTATAAATACCTCGTTGGAAATACAGTTGCTGAAGTTTCATCAAAAATTTCAACTTCTTTAATCGCAACCGTTTTTTTAATATTCTTTAAAAATGCTTTATATACTTTTCCAAATCTACCCCTTCCTATAGGTTCAAAGTCCTCTATGTCACTATATATGAACTTCCTTAATGTCAGTTCGTTTATTGAGTTTTCGAGTCTTTCAACCCATCCATTGTTCGGTCGTGAATTATCCGAGAGAAACATTTGGAGGCACTGTGTTACAGACAGGGGCCACAAAATAATGTACTGGGCAGTACAATTTTCAAAATAAGCAATTCGTATAATCTAAATGACGTTATATTAGTCATTAATCAAAATTGTTGGTATTAACTCAGTTCAATACGATAAATCGAAAGTTATAAACGTTGTTCGCTAATGATTTTAATATTCGGAAGTTAAATCACAGCGCTGTATATAAGCTATAAATAATTTGATGAAAATTTGATTACAAATAATAAATTTTCGTTAATAATATTTTTTATCAGCTCAATACTGTAATGTTAAGGGAAAAAAAAAATTATTAATCCAGATATGAAAAGGAATATCCGAATTATAAAAATTGATAGCATTTTCTAACATAGGTACCAGTTTTTTATATATCTAAATTCCTCATCACACCATTGTCATCGATAGTCTTTTTTTAGCCAGAAATAACCACTATGTTATGGCGTCACTATCCGAGTTTTATGCTGCCTATATGAATCAAATTTATTACGCGGTAGTCATATCTTTCACAGATATTACATAGATTCACATTACAGTAATACCCGAATACAGATTCTCGTAGCACATTCAGAAAGGCAGCTATTAACATCACAAGGCTTTCAAGTTGCATGAAAATAGATCGTGAGATTCCTTTTGCATATAGTACCGTCTTGCATCTCTTTCGTAAGCAGCTACTATACATTTGAAAGATAATCTATCCTGAATTTTCTTCTCAAAGTAAAATGTACATTGAAGCATCCGAAATTTTGCAAAGAAAAGTAATTTTGTTGGTGTCGTAGATTGTGTGAACATGTTAAGAACTTTGTTCGAAGTACACCTAAAAAAACGAACGAAAGTGGGATAGTCGAAAGCCCTCTTACTTAAAAAGTCATGTAAATAGGATTAATGGGCGCCCAGTAAATGCTTTGGGAATGAGGCCGTGGAGAGGAGGTCAATCAGATTCAAGAGAAGCTAACACCATCTCCGTCGTCCATATACCATCAGGAACCTATGGATAATGATGGCGACAGAATGGCGCCAATTTCTTATTCAGTTATAAAATTAAAAAAGTCTCCAATTTTTCACACTCAGATGCCCATATAATCGTCAAAAAATGTGATTTTCCCTTCACTTTAGTAATTACACCCTACGCCCGCGGAAAAGCTAACTTACGTGACCACTTTATCCCAGAATGCATCTCGGCTATATAAACGCGCTCTCACCCTGCACCTTCGTCATTTCCTCAACACCATCTGCAATTCCAACAACATCAAACCCATGCTCATTCCATAGTTCAACAGCTAGGTGATTATTTAGAAGACATTTATATATAGACGTAGAATTAGGTTCAAATGGAACAGCATATTGTCCCATTTTCAAATTATTATTTTCCGCAACAAACCCTAGTTGGGGAAGATTGGAATATGATGTATCTAGCACAGAAACAAAATACGAATATAAATAATTATTCATTCAATAAAACTCATTTGTCCCAAAGAAATAAAAAATTACTTGAAATCTATGTTTTTAAAAACTTTATAAAAATTTTAATTAAAAACAATAAATAGTTTTGTTATTAAAAAAATTATATTATCTAAGTATCCAAATTTAAATTCTATATTTAATATTATAATTTTAAATGCAACTTTTTATTATATTATAATATTAATAATTATTTTATATTTATAAATTTGATTTAATTCTTTCGCTATTTAAATAAGCTTTATGTTTATTATAAAAGTTTTATCTGAAATATTAAAAATTTAATGATATATTCGGATTTAAATTATATATACAGTATGTAATTAAAACCAGATATTTAATAGGATAACTAGTTACGTATCTGGATTTGACTATTTTATAAACGGATTTAAAACAACATATTTAATTATATATCCGAATTAAAAACAATACTTATAAAGATATTCAATTATATATCCGGATCCAAGCTCTATTTACTTTAACTACGATTACAGACGGTAAGCATATTTTGATTATTATTTGTTATTTTAAATTTATTACATTTTTCTGATTCCTACTGGCTCTAATATCTTGAATAATGATATAATTTTAATTACTTGGATAAATGCAATCAATGTAAAAAAAAAAGGTCACTTGTTTCTGGTGTCATTCTTGCAACTCCTTTCGTTCTAAAGAAGAATCTGATTAAAGGACAAACATAAATAAAAGATGTTGAAAATTTCATACAAAAGCGCATTTAGAACCAACCTGAAGATTCAAGACTCTAGAATAAATTCCATACGAAAAATTTGAAATATCGAAAAAAAAATTGGTAGTTTTACAAAAGTTTATTCGGCTGATTGGAAGGAAGGACACATCTTATATCGAAGCAATAATGGCTATTGGATGAGACCCGGGTAATAAAGGTAGCACTAAAATGTTTAAAAGTTTTTCAAGAGACATCTAAAGAATATTCGGAGGAGGTATGTAATAATCATATTATCAATGCAATCAATTTCGTATTAAGTAATAAGATAAAAAGATCAAGTATTTCTTAATGGGATTATTTAGAAACTTATATAAATTACTTTGCTGATAGTATATTTAACTTTAAATATAGGTAAAAAACCTTCATAAATTAAACAATGGTAGATCACAAATTATCAGATGCTATAGAATACAGTAACCAGATAAAAAAATCAAACCTTATGATCGTTACGAAATTTGTTGATCATACGAAGATGATTTACGAAATATCGTGGAAAGAGAAGCTCAAGCGTTTACATTTGGATTACGTATGCAAACACAAATCCGAATTAGTTCATCGAGATTTTCACCCTGGAAACATTCTTTTTTCGAATAAGAATGATGAGGTTTACATAACAGATTTAGACTTATTCAAACCAGCCAATTCTAAAGATAGTGAGAATAAATATACTTAGTTCATTATTAGTGCCTGAGGTTTTCATAATAAGATACATACAAAGGCTGATAACATTTATTAATTCGGAGTGGTCAAGTGCGAAGTATTTTCTAGCGCTCCTCCTTTTAGCGACGTTGATGTGATAATTAGGAAGCAGGCAAAATCCTTGCAATTTATATCTGCAATGGGATATTCAAGATCTGTCCCCTTTAATAGCTGGATTGATAAAAAAATGTTGGGATGCGAATCCAACAAGAAGACCATCTGCAGAAGACTCGTGAATTTTTAAATGCTTGAAAAAATTTGCATCCGATTCTGAATTTGACAAGCAAACTAATGCAAGTGAGGCGAATAAGACGCGGCAACCACTCAATTGTACAGGTGAATAAATTCATACAAGTCAGCTTCTTCGTGCAAGCAAACTTATTTAAAATTTTTCACAGCTCAAAAATTCCGAAATTGGTACGAATAAGAAACTCAAAAGCAAAGTCTTAATCACGGCCGAAAAATCGATACTCAAGGTAAATAAAATACAGTATATAATAATAGAATTTTAATACATACCGTTTATAAAGAATTTGATTTTTCAAAAATATAAGGTTGCCAGTAAATTTTTATTTAAAAAATTTTTTAAAATATAATTCAAAATATTTGAATCAATATAATAAATAATGACATATAATATTTTAATAGACCTAACCCCCACCATCGGTGGAGTGGGATGTTTGATGTAATGATGAATAACTTATGTTAATAAAATGTCTTATATCTAATGCCTGTTTACAACTAATAATAATGTTATTGTTATTTAAATAGACCTATATAATTTACTATCAATAATTTTCTAATATCGATTTTAGTTTCTTTTTTTTCTGATAATCTCTGGAAAGATGTATAAAAGATTTAAAAATTTGTGAAAAAAATGATTTTTTATCATATCGTACCTTAAAATAAAAATAAAGTACAAATGTCAAAACAATTAATCAGAACAAATCGCACCGCTATGTTATATATTGCTAAAAATATAAATAGTGTAAGAGGGACCGAAAAATTAGATAGATTCAACATATGT